TCTACCATATGCTTGCATATCTTCTCATTCTCCACCAATTAGATCACATGCATAATACAAATCATAAGGTCTTTTCCATGGGTTGTAATGTGGCTTAGGATCCAAGTGGGAAGTGTTTGGGTAAGTGACTCAAAAGCTATTGAAACTAGCGGAGTAAGAAAAATGAATTGCCTCAAGCTCAAACATATATAAGACATGTAAGATTACTACTCCACTTAACTGTTTCTCTTCATTTATTTCACGCAACCCAATCTCTTTTTATAATATATTAGGAGGAATCATGAGCATAAAATATTTTTGTACCCTTGAAAATTATTTCCTCCATCACTTCTTTCTTTTTCATCTCTTTCACCCCCCCCCTTTTTTTCAATTTTTTCTCTTTTTTTTTTCAATAATTTTTTTCATCATTTTTTTTTTCAAAATATGACACTAATAATAGAACTTATGCATTATAATTGAGAACATTTTCCATTCCACCAATCATAGTCCTACAGAAAATTTAGACACCCCCACACTTATTTTTTTTCGCACTGCCATATGTAACAAAATGATGAACAATACTCCACTAGTTTTTCGGCTTGGGTAAGATTATTGTTTTTTTCAAATTTAAAGCTTGTAACATGGGTTCAAAAAGAAAAAGGTTATAAGGCTCAAAGGGGTTCAACAAATGGACAATTAATTACAGGGTAGGCTATTTGGCTCAAGTGACTAAATTATGCATCAAAGATGGCATTAATCATGTTCATGCATGCATGTATCAATATGATCTCGAAGAGAATCAATGCAAGTTCCAAAGAAACAAATCCATGGAAGATAATCACTCATGAAAGAAAATAGTGAGATTGATATGGATGCGTCAATCTTAAAGACTCAAAATCTCACTGGCTTTTTGTCTATACATTTTGGTTACTAACTCAACCAATTAACTCTAAGTTGGAAAGATCATTTATTCAATCATGTTATGCACTCTTTAGAGATTGAATTGAATCTTGCAAATAGCACGCACAATCAAAAATCATTTAAAATCACAACTTTTCTCTCAATTTTTCGAATTTTTTTTTTTCATTTTCTTGTCAAAAGTAATGAAAGCATGACCCCGAATAAAAAATTTTAAAACAACCTAACCTAAATTTTGAAAATTTTAAAAATTTTGGAGTATATTGCAATTTTTTTGTTTATTTTTCTTTTCTTTATTTTTGTTTATTTTAAAAAGGAGTGTATACTCGTTATTTTATAGTTTTTTTTATTGAGAAATTAGATGAAAATGATGATTTTCGCAATGAAATGTGAAAGCAGGGGCAAAAATGACCCAAAAATGAAAGGTGTGGACCTTTTGTATAATAACATTGAAATGTAAGGATGTTTTGTGTTAATTATCATAATTTAAAATGTTTATTAGAAAGTGATTGGGTGGGGAGGGGGAGGACGAGCAAATTGAGGTCCTAAATTATTTAGAATTTTTGAAAACCTTTTTATTTATTTTTATTTTTTTAATTCATTTTCAACCTTACATTCTCGTAATAAAATATTTTGTACGTAAATCCAAATTTTTTTACTACCTTTTAACCACATGTTTTTAAAGATTGACTAATTTGAAACTCATTTCCCCAAAAAGTTCATTTTAATGATTGTCAAACAAATGATGGTCAAATAAGTATTTCATTAACCTTCTGATAAGTATTTCATTAACCTTCTCATTACTCTTTTAGTTTATCGTTGTATGTGTAAGAAGATACAATGCAATTACATTTGAGAAAGTCAAGCAAAATCATGATCCTACGATGTAATTATCGTTAATCGAAACACCAACAATTTCCTTCAAAAATTAGGTGTTAACATGTCATGGACATCCCACCGTTCTATGTTTTATAGACTTGTATCAAATAATAAAGGTTTAGTAAGTAATCTAGAATTCAAAGTTGGGTATTAGGTTGATTAAACTTTAATGGGTGTCAAAAAAAAAAAAAAAAAAAAAGGGGAAAAAAAAAAAAAGTGGATAGAGAAAATCATATTATTATCAATCAGATTCAACGTTTTCATCTTATGTTCTAAATAAGCCTTGAAATCAAGTCACAATTCTTGCACGAAGTCACAATTTCAAAGAGACGTGGAGCTACCAAATTGTGTCACATATATTTTAATGGTTGTAATCAGCACATAATTTTATAAGTCACAATCATATAAAGCAGTATGTCGAGTCACATAACGTATTACAATCGTTAGGTCACATTCACACAACCTAATAGATCGCATTCACTCAACGTATAGACAATCTTCATACGAAATGATAATTTTCCCTAAAACACGTATCTTAAGTCACATTCTTCAATGATACGTGCATACTTGAAACTATAGGTTGTTACACTTTTGTGATTGAAAGTCATAGATATACAACATATATGTCACGATCACACAACTTATTATGTCAAAATTATAATTTTCGCACAAAATGATTGAAAAATATTTTAGTCGATGCCTGTGACCGAAATGTTTAATCCATCCTTTACTAATAGATGTAAAAATGACGCCAAAAACCGTGACCAATTATCCTGTAGAAATTGTGGATAAGATTATTCTAAAGAAATCACGTTGAAAATTTGTGGCTAACTTTTCATATATTCTGAATAATCGTGCCATGAAAGATTGAGATTCTATTTTCCATTTCAATGTGAGAACTTTGGAGAAGAAGACAACTGAATGCCCTTTTTAGGAAGTAAATAAAATGAGAGAATAATTACTAGTTATCCTTTATTAATCTTTAAATTAAGTCACATTGTTCTATTATTTAAATTCATATATTTATAATTTTCATCAATAAAATTAGTATTTATTTTACATGGTTCATACGAGCCAATTGAATTAGACACTTAAGTTTTCTAATCTTTAAAGAATTAAAAAGGATGAATTCTTAATTTAAGGGCCGAGGTTGAACAAATCTTGATGAATTCAATAAGCATTCAGCTTGAATATCTTAATTAATTTAATAATCGAGTCTGAAATTTACAAGTCACTTATAGAACGCTATACAATGATCTTTAAAAAATGGCATTTAAATAAGAAGTACATGTAATTTTTAAACGTATATACGTAATTTGAGCAAATTGAAGTATGTAACTTTTACAACGATTACAACTTCTACGCTATTTTAATATATTTATTATTTTTGAAATTGTAACTTTCTCTTTACAATAAATTTAACTCTAAATATAAAGTTAAAACACTGACATATTACTCTACATACAAATTTAAGTCATTAAATTATTAAAAAGTACATAGTCATATCAGTTCATAAATTCTAAATAAATTTGAAAGAAAATTGAAATATTGCATGAGACAACTAATTGCAGCAGATATTAATAATTCCAATCAACAAAAAGCCCATGCCATCTAAAATTCATTCAAATGACATTGAAACTTTTGTTAGCTAATTTCATAAATATGGACAATAACCAGAATATGTAAACATAGGGAAATATGCATGGAGCCTAGGTGGATCATTTGAAAAGTCTATCGCATGATTTCACTTCTCCATATGTGACGTTTATTTCGACATGTTTATTGGTGTGGGGACTTGGCTATCGCCCCACATTTTGATATTTCTTTCTCTTCTTCTCCAGCATTCTCATTATTGGTTCATTGGTGTACCTCGTCGGTGGGATCTTATACGATCTACATCAATGGATGCATCAACAATAATTTTTAGTGGTAGGAGAATTATTTGAGACCGGCTTTCTCTTCATCATATGGAGGCTGAGTTACGAGTTATATTTGATGGGATTTTACTTCCTCGATGACTTGGATTATTTGACATATGGGTGGAAGCTGACTTACTTGTGGCCGTTCACTGTATCGATGGACTACCATGGGTGATTCAAAACATTTATCGTGAGGAGAATTATGTTTTTGATTCACTTGCATCAAGGGTTGGGTCCAGCGCCATATGGATTGCTTGACCTACCACGATGACTTCATGCTCTTATACTGTTATACAGAGTAATAAATATGGGCTTTCTAGTATTAGATGACATTAATTTGTTTCTCATTTGTTTAGTATAGGAAGTAATACTTTCCCATTTATTTCATTTTTACATGCTGCATTGTTTTCCTTTTGGAAGGTTAGGTTTATGTTCAATTTCCTTCATTCTTGCGAGTTTAATTTTATATATGATAGGGAAATCCTAATCCCATCAACTTTTCTTGATGGAGTCTAAAAATTCATTGAGATGATGTTGAAAATTGGCAAAAAAAACACGAAAGATGTAAACGGTACCTCTAGCAATGCCTTTCAGATTCAGAACTCAGAATTCCTTACTTTAATGAAAAACTATAAATTTTTTGACAGAAAAATTTACAGAATCTATCTAATCTATACTTGGCATGCATTTTTTTCCCCCAAAACCAAACCTTTTTTAACAACAAAATCGAAACCAAATTATTTCTAATAGATTTGGCGCGATTCATAATCAAATCATTGACGGGTCCATTAAATACAAACTAACAATTTTATTATCACTATTTCTGTTCGATCTTACGGATGTGCAATTTTTGTATAGAGCCCTCACTAAACCAAATCAAATTAGTCACCAAACTTTACAGAGTGAGATTTTCCTCCTTTACTCAAATTAATTGACCTAAGGTTAAGGAAGTTCATCTATATTTTTATCCCACTCATGTTTTAGCTTTCAAAACGTCGGTTACGTTCTCTAATCCATATTGAAATTTGCATTTAAGTACCAAAATGATGACTATTACATCATTTTATTAAATCCCTGTTTGGTACCATTATAATTTAATTTAAGTCAAAATTAATATTCAATTTTAACTACATATTTCAAGGGTTCCACAAATCCCTGTTCTGTTAAAAAATGGACGCCAAACTAGTTTGGCGGTATAATTGTAACAAAATTTATAGTTTAGTGACTTGAATGAAATTATCTAAAATTGCATGACTAATGTGATATTTTGAATAAACTTCTGAAGTTATCTGTAAAATTAACTTCCTACCATATACTCCGCCTGTCTCCTCTCAAAAGTAGAGCAATTTCTCGGTTCATTCTCAGCCTTTCCCCCAGTTCCCTCCACAAAATGGAAAACAACCCGCACCAAACGGCGGCGCCGGCGTCGGCGTCACAACAGGCGGTCTACCCATCGCAGCCACCTTACCCGCAACTGCTACAGCAGCAGCAGCAGCAACTCCAGATGTTCTGGACCTATCAGCGTCGAGAGATCGAGCAGGCGAACGATTTCAGGAACCATCAGCTGCCTTTGGCCCGCATTAAGAAGATAATGAAAGCGGACGAGGATGTTCGCATGATCTCTGCAGAGGCCCCGATCCTCTTTGCCAAGGCTTGCGAGATGTTTATCCTCGAGCTCACTATCCGATCCTGGCTCCACGCGGAGGAGAACAAGCGGAGAACCCTCCAGAAGAACGACATTGCTGCAGCTATCACACGTACGGATATATTCGATTTTCTGGTGGATATCGTCCCCAGGGACGAGATCAAGGAAGAGGCCGCGTCATTGGGGGCGATTTTGGGCCCTCCAGTGGTGGCGAGCGGAGCGACAGGGGTGCCCTACTATTACCCGCCCATGGGACAGCCCATGATGGGGCAGCCTGCAATGCCCGGGATGGATCCGGGTATGTATCTGCAGGCCCCGTCTCCTCCGACCTCCCAGGCGTGGCAGTCTGTCTGGCAAACCGCACCAGATGATGGATCCTACGCCAGTTGTGGTGGTACAAGCAGTAATCAAGCAAACCTGGATGGTCAAGAGTAAGATTTTCTTTTTGCAGTTTCTTTCTTTTTCCATTATAAAAAATGAAACTTTACACAGATCTTAATGACTTGGGTTTCGCGGAATTCTAATGAAAATGTGTTTCTTTCAAATTGTTTTGTCGAAGTTGATATTCTAAGGGATACACTCGGTGTTGTTCATCATGTTTCAAAACATCCGAACATGTACCGTGGTCTTTAATAAGAAGTTATTCTAGGATGTATTCCATCGACCTTTTCCAGACTTATGCCTGGAGATAATGTGCTTCTTTTTTCGATAGTCTTTGATTGAGTTCCTGAATGATATGAATCATAGTTGGCTAGCTACATGAAAGTGTGTTGTTTTGCAGAACATATCCATTGATTGCAGTGGATGAGTTTTCTTAGCCTTGCACCTTGAATACTGGTCCTAGTATGTGAAGTATACGGGCAATTGACGAAGTAAGAAGAAATAGAATGTACCTGACATTCTGACTAAATTATACTTGTCTCAGGATATCGATATCTCTGAGAATGTCTTAATCATTTTCATGTGGAATCGTATAAACTGAAAACACATGATACTTATGGCAGAGAAAGCAAGAAAATATCTATCTAAATGGAAAAAGACAGATGCAGATGTATACATGCAGAGATGGGAGAGAGGATAATTCTAAAACGTATAGAAAATGTTTCTTTCGTGACTCGTGTGTTTAGAGAGAAGTTAAAGGTGATAGCTTTTTCCAGAAAGCATGGTCCTAAATTAAAATGGTAAGAAAATAAGTCTTAGTTATTTGTCATTAATTAGTAAAGTTCAAAATGTATAATGTTCTTTGGTTTGTTAACATGGAATATATAGAAGGAAACCTTCTGACTTTTGTTTTAGTCGGTAAGCAGAATTCGGAGAGTGAACTTCTAGGTTGGTTTGTTTTTTTCGTTGAAATTTCTGGATTAGAAGTTTAACTCTATCTCATGTCTACTCTTCACCATTCTTATTTTGATGATGATTCCCTTATCTGTTGTGTTTTGTAGTATGTTGATCTAAAGAAAACTAACTTCAGGTGTCAAAATTCGTCGAGTCTATTCTTCATCATAGGTTGTTTCATGTTATTGTGCAAAGCTGATGCATGTATGTTAATGGGAATAGGACATGTGATTATTCTTATTTAAGGTTTTCATTAGATGGCTTGACTTTCTGCAAAACATGGATGAAGTAATGGAGCAATTTGGTTTTAGTCACTGTAGGGCATAAATCTTTTACTCTATATTAATGGTCATCAAAGCTTCTAGGTGGTAAACCAGTTGCTAAAGAGGAAAGGAATCTATTAATTCTCTTAATTCCTCAAATGAAGCACTTTCAAATTAAGTGGAATGCTAGCAAGGGAAGACAGAATTAAAATAACATTAAATCCCAATGTATAGTAAGCCACTCTCCATGTAGGAAATTCAGGAAAGCTTTTAGGTATTTCTTTCCTAATTTTTAGGAGGAGATTTCAGCTATTAAACATCTTCCCTCAAAACAAACCTTAATAATTGCTAAAGGGAATCTATTGTGGAAAGGGGAGGTGTTCAATTTTTCTGACAGGAGATTTCCTAGTAATAATCAGTTATCTCACGATGTCTCAGTGCAATTGTCTGCTAGTGTAATACAAAGAGTGGTGGGCTATAAATTTAAATCTGAAAAATCTGACTACACAGCTGTTCTAGTATACAAACCCTTGATCAAAGCCCATACCATGCAATTAATTGCATAAAATACAGAGAATCAAATCCTATAAGTTAAGGAATCTTGTCAGTTTCTGCGAGCAGGGGCAAAGAAATTTGTTATTATGCGCACGATTCATACTACATGGATCTTACCTAACCTTAGGGTGGAAAGTTAATGTGTTGGTTCTGGTCTACCATATTTGATAACTGTTTAGGTTGTTGAAAATATTGACTTTCCATTAATTGTTACTATTTTCTTCACTTGATCGCTTTCATTAGCCTCGTGGTTTTTCTCAACCCTAAGGGGTAGCTTAGTGGTTAGGCGATGGGTTTGTTCCTCAATGGTCACGAGTTCGAGTACCCTCAAGGCCACTGAGGCGAGGACCTGATTGTAAACTTCAAGGTCTCGTGGGATTAGTCGAGGTGCGCGTAAGCTGTTGGTTCTGGTCTACCATATTTGATAACTGTTTAGGTTGTTGAAAATATTGACTTTCCATTAATTGTTACTATTTTCTTCACTTGATCGCTTTCATTAGCCTCGTGGTTTTTCTCAACCCTAAGGGGTAGCTTAGTGGTTAGGCGATGGGTTTGTTCCTCAATGGTCACGAGTTCGAGTACCCTCAAGGCCACTGAGGCGAGGACCTGATTGTAAACTTCAAGGTCTCGTGGGATTAGTCGAGGTGCGCGTAAGCTGGCCCGGACACCCACGGTCATAAAAAAAAAATAAGGTTTTTCCCAGCTCTTTTTGTTTAAGATGAGATATTTCATATCCTATGATATGCTTATTAGATTAGTCTTGCACATGTCCCAGGAATGGTGTTTTTAGTGTACAACTTCATTCAGCTTCAGACAATCATTATCTCTTGCATATATATTGAAGATTCTTCTATAGAATTTAGTCATTGTCTAATGTTGTATGGTTTGCGTAGGCAACATTCGAATGCAAATTTATTATTACCAATTCTATGTTTATCCTTTTTTATTTTGTGTGCGTGTGCATACACACACACATATTTTATTTTTTTCAGTTTAATTTTATTTATTATTATTATTATTATTATTATTATTATTATTATTATTATTATTATTATTATTATTATTATTTTAACTGTTAAGCAAACTGTTTTTGAGGTGCATATAATTTATGGAGTTTGTATTAGTCCGAATTGACCTTATTGATAAGTTAAAAATGTAGATGCTGACATTGCTTTACTCTCGTTTCTTGCAGTTGAACAGCTCATATGCTGACTGATCACCGAGCAGCGACAACAAGAGGTCACCGATTTGCTGATGTTGAATGGACTTTTGCTTTTTCAAATGTTAATGTACTTTATTGCAAATATTCATGAATATTTGCATTAATGAATATTTGCATTAATGTGCCGACTTTTTTGCTGGTAGATATTTGTATAAAACTTGATTTTGTTACTATGGTTTATCTTATAAAATTCGAAGTTCTTGTTTCAGTATTTTCTTCGTGTGTGTTATGAGATGCACATAAATCTTATGAGATTTTCAATTAACCATGAATTATTGATGTCTTTAAATCTGTTTATATTCTTTAGTCGTAGTGAAATAAACCACTTGTGGCAGCAGTGATTCAACACAGCAATGATAAGAAGATGAAGAAAAGTTACATCCACGCTCTCTTTATTGAATATGTGCGATAATTTTGGTGGAATAACAGCCAGTTAGCCATTACCAAACATCAAAAATTCAATGGGTGAGCTACTTTTCTTTGAATGAGCTGACAGAACCCAATACTGATACTACCTTCCTCTTCAGATGACCGGACGGCACAGACATCTAGGCCTTTGCACTGGTAGGTACAGCATAGATAGAACATTATCAACAATCTATTTCCTTATACATGTCAATATGTTTCATTGGTGCACCCATAAATCCCAACATCCTCGAAATTTCCTGATGAAAGAATGCCACATGCTTAGATTCGTCTATACCTCGAACGGTAGAGAAAAATTGTTGTTTTAAGTAGAAAAAAAGTTCATACAAGAAAAGTATGAATGAAGTTTAGTAGTATTCAAAGAAGAAACTAGTATATAAGTAAATAATTAAAGTAAAACTTATTTATGTTCGGAAACAAGAATAAATTTGGAATTGTTACTAGAGTCCTTTCTAGCTGCTCGTTCCATCCATCTCTTCATTTACAGAAATTCCTAGTTAAGTCAAAATATTGCAACCACATCATACTATGTTCATTTTAGTCTATTCCAACCTTACTAATAATCAAGATTAAATTCTTCTGTTTCAAAACCAGTAAATCTTATGAAAATTCCATGGAACATAAAAATAAAACATCCAAAACGAAGACAAATTTGTCTGCTAGAGAAAATTAGTATGTTTGCGACAAAATAGAAGTTTGTACGTTAACCATGAAAACCAAGTTCAGAATATTATTCTTTTAGTAGGAGAAAAATACACTATCAGAAACCCGACCAAAATCTACTTTGCACCGTCCAACTCAGCACCAATGCCCCACTGGTTTAGCTTCTCAAGTATTTCAGCCTTAGCCCTTCCCATCAGCAGGGTACGAAGTTCAGATTTAGAAAATTCCTTTCTGCTTGTGGACTTGTCATTAGTCGAATTAACTCTTTCAGCTCCCAAATTGCCCTTCGGATTTCCAGAGGAAATTGTTCGGGTCGCCCTGCTCCCTCCTGTCATTTGGTCTGTCTTTGGTACTTTTTGACTTCTGCCCATACTTGCGCCTCTTTTTGATTGCCTTCTCCGAAACTGAGGGAAAATCAGTTTTATCTGGCATAATGCTATTCCTTTGCAAAGCCTTCTCACTCTGGGCCATAGCTACTGTCTTCATGCCATCCTTTAAGCTTTCACCTGCAGACGGGATCAGTGGTTCAGTAGGAGTGGCTCTGGAAGGCGTAAATGTAGCACTTCCGGAGCCCCCTGATCCAGCAAACATACCTTGTTGCTGTTGCTGGAGGACCGACCAAGGACCAGGTGTACGGCGTATCTTTCCAGATGAAGGGGCAGGCTTTTCTGACGCCAAAAAGGGCAGCAAACAGTTGGGACAGAAAAGATTTTGGTTCAGATACATCTTGAGGTACTCATATTGCATCCCGCAACCATTGCATGATGACCAAAAAGTTTCTGGTCTTGATGGAGGAGGACTAGGGAGCGGCTGAGAACTAGTAGCCTCATCTTTGTTACCTTGCATTTTTCAAAATGATTGTATTCGCCTTTGTAAACCCAGTACACCCGTAGAAGTATGTTCAGTTTTATGAATGTAAACTAGAAACAATGATAAAGCAACAACCATAATGGGGATGCACTAATCTTTCAAATTTAGCATAACCTAGAAATGTTTGAACGTAAAGGAATTATGTTACTCTTCTCATATATTTCAATATAACAGAAGTGAGAAGAAACTTTGACGACAATATCAGAGGAACAACTTAACATGTCAAAAGTCAATTTTTTTAAAAGAAACTCTAGTAGGCTGAAAATAGTTAATTTGACATAAAATTAAATTCTTCAAAAGATGAGTCTATGTGACCCTTCTGGTCCAAATGGAAGGAAGAAAACAAAAGATCTAACTAACTAGATACTACCATACGTATGAAAAAATTGTATAAATTAAGAAGTCAGTGAAGCTAACAATAATTATCAGTACATAATTGCATACACGTATGCATGCATATGCAAGTAGTTACCTATAGTTGTTCGATCAGCTATTTTCATAACGGATACGCATCTATATGAGTGTAACAAAAAATAATGGAAGCATTAAAGGCAATGACATAATCCGACAAAATACTACTTTTTAGGAAATCTTAACTAGTAAGATCCATGGAATAGAAGAGTCTTTCTAGACTGATTTCTTAATAATCTGAAAAGCCAAAAAAATGTGGGGGAGGGGAGCCAACCACGGAAACGGTATCTTTTGACACAATTTTTATTTTTTTGAGATCTATAAATCTTGACCTAATTCATGATAGCTTGTTTTGTTAATAAATTTCAATTGGATTTTAATTAATGTTTCCATCTTAAAGATGTTATCCAAGAAACATGAAAGGAAACAACAAGAAACTTAAAACTAAATTACTGAACATTAAACCCCATGCCAAACCAGCATCAAAACATCACGCAAACCTATATCCACTTGCAAAGGTCTTTCTACCCTAACACAATAGTAAACAAAAACAATATCCTTTAAATAATTCAAACAATATTAGCAACCTTCACAAGAGCTCATGGTATATTCAGTCAGACGTTGAAGTTTTAATGAAATTAAGACTCCAATCTTCAGTCATAGTGGAAGCCAAAGAAACTCATATTCATTCCAAGCTATTGAAATGAGAAGAAAAAAACACGTCAAATAATTCACTCATGCCCAGCAATTCGTACCTCGTATTTCAAGGGAGCATAAAAGATGACAATCCTCAATGATGCAAATGATCTCTAAAATATATATGAGGCTGTGAATTTCCTACACTTATGTGCTTATTTCTGAGGGGGATTGACAGGGCTACCAATTTATAGAGATTATGTGCAATTTGGATGGATTCATCAAATTACTTCTCAGATTTCATCAGATTTTTGAATAGTACTATCTTTGTAATATGGTCATGATCACCAAAATCAGAGTTTATTACATACGAATATTTACTATATCTATGCGTTGTGGGTCCCATGACACGTCTAAGCTCTCATCACAAAGGCTGGGATTGTTGGAAGTGGTCGTTTTTTATCTCAAAAACTGTCTGAGATGTGCAAACTTCTTAAGAAGAGGATCTGAATTTGCCAAAAGCCTGTGTTTCGCGCGTGTTCGTCGCTAACAATTAAAAGGGATCAGACAATTGTGTAAGGGACAAACCTCTTGAGACAAAGTCCCAAAAATGGGTGTTCTTTATTGGCGATGACTTTACAATCGGAAATTAAAAACAGAATGCCTCCAAGGGACGCAAGCACACGAGTTACTGAAAGAAGTGTTTAAATCTAAGTTAAGGAATTTAAAATTACATGTTCTCTGTTCGAGAGTTTTTGATTCGGTCCCCTGCTCTATGTCTTTCCTTCCTTTTATACTCCCTGGATGATCTCTTTGTGATCAACCGCCTAAAATCTGTTGGGTCGTTTTATAACTGCCCACTTTCCTTGTAATGGCCAAGTTGTCATGGAACTGTCTTTTTTAACTGCTGCCATTACTCTTCGTCGTTCAACCGTTTTCGATTGAATTCCTTGAATCGTGGAACGTGATATGACTGCTTTAATAACTGCTTTGATAACTGCACTTCTTGATAACTACAAAACTTTATTTTTGTTAAGACTTTGGGCGACTTGAAGGTTTGGGCGAGAATAGAGTAACAGTCAGCACATAATTTTATAAGTCACAATCATATAAAGCAGTATGTCGAGTCACATAACGTATTACAATCGTTAGGTCACATTCACACAACCTAATAGATCGCATTCACTCAACGTATAGACAATCTTCATACGAAATGATAATTTTCCCTAAAACACGTATCTTAAGTCACATTCTTCAATGATACGTGCATACTTGAAACTATAGGTTGTTACACTTTTGTGATTGAAAGTCATAGATATACAACATATATGTCACGATCACACAACTTATTATGTCAAAATTATAATTTTCGCACAAAATGATTGAAAAATATTTTAGTCGATGCCTGTGACCGAAATGTTTAATCCATCCTTTACTAATAGATGTAAAAATGACGCCAAAAACCGTGACCAATTATCCTGTAGAAATTGTGGATAAGATTATTCTAAAGAAATCACGTTGAAAATTTGTGGCTAACTTTTCATATATTCTGAATAATCGTGCCATGAAAGATTGAGATTCTATTTTCCATTTCAATGTGAGAACTTTGGAGAAGAAGACAACTGAATGCCCTTTTTAGGAAGTAAATAAAATGAGAGAATAATTACTAGTTATCCTTTATTAATCTTTAAATTAAGTCACATTGTTCTATTATTTAAATTCATATATTTATAATTTTCATCAATAAAATTAGTATTTATTTTACATGGTTCATACGAGCCAATTGAATTAGACACTTAAGTTTTCTAATCTTTAAAGAATTAAAAAGGATGAATTCTTAATTTAAGGGCCGAGGTTGAACAAATCTTGATGAATTCAATAAGCATTCAGCTTGAATATCTTAATTAATTTAATAATCGAGTCTGAAATTTACAAGTCACTTATAGAACGCTATACAACGATTTTTAAAAAATGGCGTTTAAATAAGAAGTACATGTAATTTTTAAACGTATATACGTAATTTGAGCAAATTGAAGTATGTAACTTTTACAACGATTATAACTTATACGCTATTTTAATATATTTATTATTTTTGAAATTGTAACTTTCTCTTTACAATAAATTTAACTCTAAATATAAAGTTAAAACACTGACATATTACTCTACATACAAATTTAAGTCATTAAATTATTAAAAAGTACATAG